TACGTTTTAGCCTCATAGCTCACAGCTCAGTCACTCGAGGATTTTCAGTCACATCCAGATGAATTGTCAGAATGACTGCAGCCATCTTGTTTCTTGTTTCTCCACCCAGGATCCGAGGCTCCTCCCCCTCCAGCTGTGGCTCCAGCCCTCTGAACATCACCAGCACCCCCCCACCTGATACCTGCTCACCTGGAGGCAAGAAGGTAACTCAGTCTGCAGCTGTGTGTCATTACAAAACGGAAAAACAATCGGACTCGTCTTTCCCACGAGCTTCGGAAACACTCTGAGTTCAGGCTGAAACCGATCCGAGTTCCCGGTAAACTGATAGCCGTCTGTCTGTCTGCTGCCTCTACAGATCCAGAACGGAGGAACGCCTGAGCTGCCCAGTACAGGAATCATCCCCGGACCCGATTCCGTCGGATACCCTTATTCCAACCAGTCCATCATGAGTGAGTCGAACATTCTTATAGGTTTAAAATCACATAAATCTGAACAAAACTCCTCAGAATCAGCTGGTTCTTGTTGGGTTCTGGTCGATTCATTTTCACCCTACTCCTCCGTCCAGGCGACAACTCCCACCTGAGCATAGACATCATGGACGAGCCCGGATCCAGCAGCCCGAGCAACGACGAGGCGGCCATGGCGGTCATCATGTCGCTGCTGGAGGCCGACGCCGGCCTGGGCGGCCCCGTCGACTTCAGCGACCTGCCCTGGCCTTTGTGAGGAAGCCGGACGGGGAGAACCGGAGCCGGAGAGAGTTCGGTCGGGTCCAAATCCTGGCCGCCGAGTTTCCTGCGAAAAAAAAATGTCCATCTTAACAAAGAAGTCCGAAGGTTTCTACTGACACAAAAGATTACTTCTGTTAGCCGTCGTGTTCAAGGTTTCACTCCTACTTCCTGGTTCGTCATTCCCCGTAGGCGGAGCTTCACCGAGGCCGGATCTTTGTTAAGATGGTCATTTTCAGATCAGACGTTTCCTAACATTGCCACGGTGAGAGAAGACCACAACTCCAACAACAGTCCAGCAAACTACGGATGTGCGGTGCTAGCACGTCGACGCCCCTGCTAGCAACTCAAGACTCATGCTCGCAAGTTGACACTCCTGCTAGCTAGCACGTCGGGTTTCCTGCTAGCGGGTCGATGCTTTTGCTGGCACGCCGAGGCTCATGCTGCTAGCGCGTGGAGACTCATGCTAGCACGTTGAAGCTCCTGCTAGCAACTCGAGGCTCCTGCTAGCACGTCGAGGCTCATGCTAGCATATGGAGGCTCATGCTAGCACGTCGAGCCTCATGCTAGCTAGCACATCAAGGCTCCATCACCGGCTCTGGATCCTGTCGGCATCACCGGACTCCTGAGACAAACTGAGGTCGACGTGTTGGTCGGAGAGCGTTCGATTCCCGCTGCGACTCTCTCCACGTCTTTTACCTGAGTTCAAGGATCCTGTACAAGCGCGACCCTCCACCCGAACTCGGCCGCTTCAATCCGGCCGACCTCCGACTAAACAAAGGGATCTGCCGCCGTTTCCCTTTCGGAGATTCGCTCGGAAAGGACTTTTATTATTTCCCCCAAAAGATTCCACAGGCAGGTTTCAGAAATAGTTTTAGAAGACGCCACTCAGCTGCTGTTTCCCTCGACTTTGTCTCCGAGCTGCTCGTCCTCAGCGTCCCACCTCTAAAGATCAGAGCGGACCTATTCTGTGATGTTCTGCTGCTGCTCAGTCGAGGTCTTCACACGTCCAAAACTATGGAATGAATTATTTAAATTTGAGATAAAGAGAAAACCTGAGCTGCAGACGAGACGAAACAGCAGAATTTTTATTTTTTTAAGTATTTTTTTGGGGCTGTTTTTGTTCCTGGGGAGTCGCACACAGATTAAACACAAATCTGAATGTTTTAGAAGCCAGTTGAGTCTCAGAAGCTTCTATCATGTTGTTGAAGGACGCAAGTTTTGAGTTTATAGTGCGTTCAGAAACAAAGCTGAAATACCTTTTATTTTTGAGCGTATTGCTCAGTGTTCTGCCAAAACGTAATAAAGACACAGAGGAGCTGCTGACACTTGAAAAAATGCATTAGTTCGCCTCGACAAAGACTCGTGTGGCGGTTAATGTCCTCCGACTTTAGCTCCGTAGGCGTGGCCTCACTTCTGAATGAAGACGATTGGTCTGTTTTGAAACGTCGCCGTTTTATGGAGTGAACTCAGCATCTTAAAAAGGAAAACCTGGTTGACAAAGACAGCCCTGCTACGACTTCTTGAGTTTTAACTTCTATCGAGATGACTAGCGCAAAAATTTGTCAGTGGTCTGATTGGACCTTCAATTAGATTTTATTTATATAGCGCAAATTCACAACATATGTGATCTCACAGCGCTTAACATAGTCACCTGTGAAGACCTCCTGCTTTGTTCTGGAACAGAGCAGCTGTAGTTCCTGGTTGTTCCACCAGGGGGAGTCTCTTAGTTTTCAGTAAGATTTTTAAAAATGCAGTTACACGTTTAGCTAGCAGCGGGCCACCACGACGAAGACTAGTGTGGCGGTTAATGACCTCTGACTTTAACTATGTGAGACGAGTAGGCGTGGCCTCGCCTCTGAATGAACACCATTGGTTCATTTTGAAATGTCGCCGTTTTATGGCGAGAGCTCAGAATCTAAAAAGGAAAACCTTGTTAACAAAGACAGCCCTGTTACCCCTTATTAAGTTTTAGGTTTTGTTGAGCCGGCTAACGCAAAAAGTCTGGTTATGTTGAACTTTCTTCGTGGTCCAGCCCTGATTGGACCTTCAATTGGATTTTATTATATAGTGCAAATTCACAACATATGTCATCTCACAGCGCTTAGCATAGTCGGATACAGACGTTAAGGACTTTGAAGACCTCCTGCTTTGTTCTAGTACAGTGAGCAGCTGTAGTTCCTGGTTGTTCCACCAGGTGGAGCCTCTTGTTTTTTAATTAAAAAAAAAAACAAAAACAAAGCCTCGTGTGGCGGTTAATGACCCGCCCGAGCGGAGACATCGAAGCTAACGGAGGCAGCAGCTCGGTGCGCAGCTTCGTTTTCAGGCTAATCGGTCCGACTCCAAACCAAGACTGTCCACGTGCTCCTTCACTGCCACCGTTGGTTCTGAGGACGCCTCTCTCCGGATCAACACACCGAAACCTTGGTTCTGGGTCACAGGGTTTCCTCCTCCATCCTCCCTCCACACTGAAGCACTTCTGACTAGATGGGACTCGCTGGATCAGGTTTCTGATGCGGCGCCGAGTACTTCTTTTGCCTTTTTGTGAATTTAGCCCCCAGATAGAAAGCAGCGCCTCCTCGGTGAGCGGTTCGGACGGAACCGAGAGGAAAAAGGAAAGAAAATACCTCCTGAGATGGATTAATCTGCAGAAATGTGGATTTTTAAAGAACACTCTTGGACTTGGTCTGTTCAGCACTTAAAGACTCGTAACTGTCAAACTACCTTGTTAGCGCCGAGGGCTAAACCGTAGACGAGTGTAGAAACAGGAAACCGGTCCGAGCTCAGAGAGAATCAGGACGGACAGACGGTGTCTGGATGGACTCTTTATGTCCGTTTTTCCTCAACGATGGTGATAAACGATGACGAATATCTTCAACACGACCTCTTCGCTTCGCCGCTCTGCTGCGAGTCCGACCGGAGGAGGAGGAGGCGTCGGAGGGCGGCGCCTGAAGGGAAAGAAAATCCTCATGTACAAAAAACATAAATTAAAAGCAGCACGTCGGTGGTTTCACAGATTCCTCCTTTAACGCCTTTCAAATATTAAACCGAAGCTCAGTTTTGTAAATTCTTTCACAAATCAAATCAAAGTAACAGAAAAAACTGCAAAAAAAAAAGACATTTGCCTCAAAAACTTTTTAGCATTACTGACGCCAAAACGTATTAAAGTAAAATCATTTAAAGAAATGATTGACTTAAGTTTTTAAAAAAATATATGATAGTCTTAAATGTGTAGCAAGGTTGAAACCTTATAAAACTAACGAGACGGCAAATAGAAATGGTTTAAAAGCAAAAAAAGAAAAAAGTATATGTATTCGGTATTTTTACACATTAAATGTCTTAAACTCATTCATGCTTCAACTGTGTTATAAATACAGTTTAGAGTCGCAGAGAGAAACATCCGAACCGAACGAAATTGTGATTTTTTTAAAGACTTGTCTGGATGAAAAATATATTCGTGTGATTTTGTAAATTCTTTCCACGTTCTGGAAACTGGAAAAATAAAATAAATCCAACCAGAAAATTCTAAAGTGCACGAAAACAGAAAAAAATACAAAAAGGCGTTTAAGTGTCTTTATTAAGTGGTTACGGAGCAACGAGTTTTTATTCAAACATGAAGTTTTGTGCCAACGTTGGGGCTGATTTCCTGGTTTCTTTGGCTCATCTCGTTGGTTTAGTGGGTTTAATTAAAAGTAAAATCCAGAGCTGTGTTGGTGGCTTTTATGGTTTATGTTGCACAAAATGACCGTTAAAGTCATTTTTTAAAACTGCGGTTAAAGACGAGATCCCTTCGTTCAGCCTTTTATTTATTTTTAATATCGTTTAGTGTCGCCCTCTTTTGTTCAATGAAGGAAATAAAAATAACCAACGAACGCTAGCTAAGAAAAGACGTTAATACGGTAAAACATAGTAACGAGAAGCCTCGAAACTTGCGAGCAAGACAAATATTAAAGTTATTATGATGTAAAATAATTTCAAATAGGGATGTTATGGATTAGCTGTTCATCAGTTATATATTTAAACCAATTAAAACTATATTAACCAATAAAGCAGAAAACGCTGCAGTACCTGGTTGTTCCACCAGGGGGAGCCTCTTATCATGTAATGGGATTTTTTTTTAAAGTTGCAGTTTGTTTGCTGTGACCTGCGTTTAGCGATCAACAGGCACCACGGCAGACTTCTGTGGAGGTTAATGACGAGCCGATTTATACACGAGTCATGTGACCTTGACGTGAAGTCCGCTGTGCTTTTATTGATTATCGATCGGTCATGTTAATTGTCTAAACTTCTCTTCCCCTAGTTACAAGTACTGCTTGTGTTAACCTCCGACGTGCTGCGACTCAGATTTCATCGTGTTTGAGCGAAGTCGGCCATGTTTTCTTTCCGTCAGGAGTCGGCCATGTTCTCTTCCCGTCAGGCTCCGCCCCCTCCCGTCCTCCTCCTCCAATCAGGCAGCAGCTGGCGGAGGCCCCTCTGTATCTGTTCTAGTGGTTTTCTGTTTCAGTGTTTCTAACGCTACACACTACAATAAAGTGTCGCCCTTGTTGATATCTCCTCCTCCACCCGACAATAATGTATCAAATCTTTAAATATTATCATGTAAGAGTACTTTATGCAAATATATATGAGTATGATGAGTGTATTGTATGTATCAGCAGTGAAATATTTTTAAAATAAAATTATTTGTTTCTGTCACCGTGGCGTCGTCCGTGGTCATCGTTTGCACCTGGGCCGTTCTGTCAGCCAATCGGAGCAGCCCGCTGGTTCTGTCAGCCAATCGGAGTTGACGGATGTTGTTGCCGAGCTGCAGGAAGATCTGTGACGTGGAGATGTTGTTGCTCCTGCAGGTTGAGGAACTTCGATAAAACCTGGAGGTCATGCTGCAGTACACTGTAAAAAAATCTGCCTTTTTTAACTGTAATTTTTCAAAACAGTTTTCCTTTTTTAGTTAAGTCCCAATAATTCCTGTTAAAACCGCTGAACAAC